TTAATTCATATATTAGAATAATTATTCATATTATAATGTAATAATATTTTTTATTTTATGATAATTTTTTTGTAAAATTAGAATTATACATTAGAATAAATATTTAATTTAGATATACATTAAAAAGTAATCAAAATTTAGATAATCAATATATAGAAGAGATAGTATTTTTATTAAAATATCTCATCCTGATAAAAGATCAAAGGTTTAGAAACTCAAATTACAAGTAGCAATGAAAATATATTTTAAAAGTTGAATTAGATTGACATTGTCAATGTATTTTAAAACTAATTTTTACGACGTCTAATAATTAAGGATTACTTTCTCAGTTTTTTATTTAACCTATTTCTAAAGTTTATTCTTTTTCATTTTTAAGAACAATAATAATAATAATAATAATAATAATAATAATAATGATAATGATGATGATGATGATGATGATGATGATAATAATAATAATAATAATAATAATAATAATTCTTGATGAGATCTGATTTTAATAAGTCCTGATCTGGCTGATCTGATTGGATCTGATCTGATCTGATTGGATCTGATCTGATTCAATCTGATCTGATTTGATCTGATTCAATCTGATCTGATCTGATTTTAATAAGAAAAAAAAAATAAAAAAAAATAACTTGAACGGAACGGGGCCTTAGTCATACTAATGTATACCGATCCTTATTTCTTATGTGTTACTCCTTATTTCTTATGTGTTACTGTCTTGGTCGCTTAATTATCACTTAGGTGTCATGGCGGTACACTAGCGCCGTGCCTTGCCTTGGTGCCGTTACAACTATGATATATATATATATATATATATATATATATATATATATATCTGTGTGTGTGTGTGTGAAGCTTGTAGAGGTGTCTCATGATGCATTGAAATCTTTATATGTTAGGTGGTAGCTTCCGGAATTGATGAACGCACACTCAAGCGTGAAGGAGTATGTGCTGCCTCTTTGCCTACAACTATGGTATGGATATTTATTTATGTATTTGTTTATGTGTGTGTGTGTGTGTATGTATTTGTATGTATGTATGTATTTATTTGTCACTCTTAACTTGTTCATTTCTGCTGACTATATTCTTGAACTGTTTCCTGGATGGTGGTTGGATGATACCAGTGCCCGCAAGTAGCATATCACTTGCATCTGTTGAATGCCTATAAAATTTACATTTTAGAATCAGATCTAGCTGGCTCAATTGGAAGTTCACAATTCATAGCTACTAAGACAAACAATAGGAATTACTACTTCTATCACAATAAAGAGCAAAGGCTCCACAATTGACAGTTTTGCGTGAAAATTAAGAAAAGTAAAACTATATAGTTGAAATTTATGCCGAGGATAAAAATAATATGAACCAGAATTGTTTTTCTTTAGTAGGAAACAGAACTTTTAATGGGACAAACTAACAAGGAAATTGGACAGTGTACTAAACTACAAGTTGTTGCTACCTACAATTTAAACCTTGAGCATTGACTTTTATCTTTTCCATTACTTTGTTTATTTCACTATGTCAATATTTGCAATGATGAATGTTTAAGAATCGACTAGTACATGTGATTAATCTTCTTCAGTACTTCAGCCAGCACTTTTTCCTACCCTTAAAAACATCATCTTAACGAACTTTGCTAGGGAGTCATTGCTGGTCTCTTGGTTCAGAACACACTGAAGTACTTGTTAAAGTTTGGACAAGTGTCTCCATATCTGGTAATGCTTAAGCCTAATTACATTGTCTTGCATGCACTTGTACATCTATGATTGTCTGTTTTTACTATATCCATGCATCCATTTCGGTCGTTTAGGGATGCAAAAGTGAGATTGCAGTGAACTTCATCACTATGCAAGGGTTAAGAACATACCTATTAAATCCCACAAAAGTGGGGCTTGGAGGTGTGCGCTTACGCAAACCTTACTTACCCCTACTTAGACTGTTTCTTTTCAACTTATTGTTTCTGCTTACTACTTATTCTTAGTAAAATTAGATCATGTCGAATCCATTCAAAATGAGAGCAAATCCCCAATTAGATCATACCATTCAAATCAGATTAGTCTAGAAAAATGCTGAAAAAATTATGTTAATATTTTGTCTATGATTAAATAATATTTACTATCTGATTAAATCTTGTTACATTATTTAGTGTTGCATATAATAAAATACGGACTAATAATCACTAGTATAATGTTATAAACAATTAAATAATAATAATAATGTTACATATGATTAAATAATAAAGTGTACTTTCTATTATTTTTTTTAGTAATGATAACAATTTTAATGAACTAAATTCTATAATTGGTTCTTTGAACTAGAGTTTTCCATATTTAGTCCTCAATTACTAAATATTGCGTTTGTGGTCCTTCGTTTATGGGCACCTTTACACGGATAGTCTTTTGTTTGACCTTGCATTATGTTGGTGTTAAATTAAAGGCTAAAAAAATAATTTTACATCGAATCTAGATTTGACCATGTATATCAGTGTTGGTTTGACGGACAACACAACAACAATGACTATGGCCGCAGACTTAGATCTCGACCAGCAACAACAATTATGGACTATGGTTGCGGTGAGAGGCAACTCTAGCTAAAACACGACAAATCAGCAGTGATGTCTTTTAATGACTATGGCAAGACAGATGTAAGGCCCGTGTGAAATTACACTTTTAGCCCTCAATTTAACACCAACATCACAAGAGGTAAAACAAGGGAGAATTTGTGGAAAGGCACCCATATACGAAGGACCATGAATGTAACATTTGATAATAAAGGACTAAATATAGAAATCCCCAATTTTGAGGACCAATAATAGATTTTACTCTTTTAATAATCGTACTCTCTCTGTCCTTTAAAGAAATGGTCATTTTGCCTTCACGGAAATTTAAAAAGTATAGAAATGTTATTGAAAAGATGTTGAATTTAAAAAGTGGTTAATATTCTTAGAGGGGGGCAAAGTATTTTAGACTACACATACATTTCTAAAAAAGAAAAGATAAAGAGACAAGTAATCAATCAGATCGACTACCTGAGAACGCCAGACCTGTTGCGACCTCTGGAAGCACAGTGAATACACCTAAAGGAGTTCAATCAACAAAGAGTGCGGAAAAAGCTAAATCTGATGGTATTGGATCTGGATCAGTAGAAGAGACGAGAAAAGGAAAGGTTGAAGAGGAAGAGTCCGAAGAACAAAATAAACCAAAGAGTTATATTGAGGTCATGGGATCTAATGAGTTACAAACAAATCTCTCTTTCTATCAAGTTGAAGAATTAAATGGACAAAAGGTAGCTAATTTCACTAAAGATGATGTGAAAGTTAATTGTATTTGGGAACAAGCAGTTATCTGCCATATTCTAGGGGCAAACCCACCGAATGAAGTGGTTAAAGGATTCATTGCAAGAATATGGAAGGATTATGGGGTGGAAGATGTAATATTTCACAAGGGTAATTTATTGTGCAATTTCAAAAGGCAGAAGGAAGCGGCGAGGTTAATCAGTGAAAATACCATTATTTCGATAACAAGCCTATGTTGGTACAGAGATGGAAACCTGGATTTAAATTGAACACATTGGAATTGAATGATATACCAATATGGGTACAGTTCCCCAATTCGGACAGGAAGGTTAACTTGATGGGTATCCTTGAGACAAAAATCAGGAAAGAAAAAGAGGAAGTAGTGATGAAGAAGATGCTTAGTAGTTGAAGTACTTATACCAGTATTGACCAGCATCCCTTTGGAAGGATATGGTTAGCATGGAACGGCAATAAAATGAATGTCCAAATTTTCAATAGCTCAGCACAAGCTATTATTGTCAAGGTCAGAAGTGTTGATAATAGTGACTATGACTATGTTACCATCATCTATGTCTTTAATGATAGTGGAAGCAGGAAGCATTTGTGGGATATAAGCTCAGAGAATATGCCAGATATATGAACGGACCTTGGTGTTGTATTGGAGATTTCAACAGTGTGCTGAAAGCCTGGAAGTTGAGGACAAAATCGGAGGTAATCCAGTGGTAGAGGAAGATATGAAGGATTTCAGGGAATGTGTTATGGATTGTGGTTTGGAGGAATTACCTTATGAAGGGTCATTTTTCACCTGGTCTAATAATAAACAAGGAGTTGACCATAGAATTTTCTCAAAGTTGGACAGGGCTTTAGCTAATGTAGATTGGATGCTAAGGCACAACACCAAAACCAAAGTTATTGATGGTGTGTCAGACCACACACCTACCTCTGCTACTCAAGGATATCAACATTCAGAGAACAAAATACTTTAGATTTTGCAACGTGTGGATAGAAGACTCTGATTCCCCCCAGATTTTGGAAAAAAAATTGGAAAGAGGCCAAAGGAGTATGTTTCAATTAGTGCAGAACCTTAAGAAGCTTAAAGAACCCCTTAAGAAGCTTCGCAAGGATAAATACAAAATGATACATAAACGGGTGAATGATCTAAGGGAGGAGCTGATGAAGATACAAGGGGCAATAAAGCAACCTCATGTGAATGATACCTTGATAGAAAAAGAGAAAGAATTGCTGCATCAGCTAAACATTACTATTAAAGCCTCTCATGAACTTAAATGTCAGCAAGTTAAACAAGAGTGGATCACGGAGGGGGATAAGGACTCTAAAATGTTCCATGCTTGGGCTAAGAAGAGGCAACTTCACAACTACAGTACTATGTCAAGAAATAGCAAAACGATACAGTAGGAATGGCATCTCCCCTAGGTGTATGCTGAAATTAGATATACAAAAGGCTTATGACTCAGTAAACTGGAAAGCTATTAGAGGTATCTTACATAGTCTGAAATTTCCAGAAAAGTCTACAAATTGGGTGAAGTTGTGCATTACCATCCCATCCTATACAATCAGTGTAAATGGGGAACATCATGGGTACTTCAGAAGTTCAGAGGAGGGGAAGGTATGAGACAAGGTGACCCATGTCCCCACTCTTGTTTGTGCTAATAATGGAATATCTAACTAGAAGTTTTAAAGATGCTGCTCAGAAAGACAACTTTTCTTATCACCCTATGTGTACTAGTCTAAAAATCATCAACCTCAACTTTGCTGATGATTTGCTTGTGGTTAGTAAAGAAAATACCAAATCAATTAACTGCATCATGAGAATTTGGAGAAATTTCACTCCACCACTGGTTTGAAGATTAACAATGCCAAGTTTCAGATTGCCTTTGGCGGAGTCAGCAAAAATAAAAGAGTTTCTGAAGATCATGAAACTGGCTAAGCTGCCTTTTACATACCTAGGGAGTCCAATACCTACTGCTAAATTGAAAGCTAATGATTGTGATGCTCTCTGATCAATAAACTTACCATAAAAATTACAGCTTGGGGATCTAGGAACTTCTCTTATAGTGCAAGGATCAGGCTAATTAATTTGGTGTTAAAGAGGATGATCAGCTTTTGGTCTAGAATCTTTATATTGCCAAAAGAAATAATGATAAGAATAATGGTCATCTGTAGAAACTTCTTATTGGGAAGTTCCTATGAATATAAGAAGGTTCCATTGGTTCAATGGGAAGATATCTTTCAACTTAAGAAACATGGTGGGCTGGGAATAAAGAATGTTCTGCAATGGAACAATGATACCATCATGAAATTAAATTGGGATATAGCTGAGAAAAAAGATATACTATGGGTGAGATGGATACATACCAGATACATTAAAGGACTGACTTCTGGAACGACCTTCCTAAACTGGACTCGTGCCACTATCGGAGAGAAATGGTAAGGTTCAGAAACAAATATGTAGATTTGCCTAGAGGAAAACCTTATAAAATTAGGTCTAGATATGAATGGTTGCTGGGGGGGGGACACAGACCTAAATGGAGAGATTGGGTATGGAATAACCTCACACCTCCTTAGTTTCAAACTATATTATGGCTGCTGTGGCGAGGGAGATTCCAAACAAAGGACAGCATCTGCAGATTCCTTGCTATAAATACAGCATGTGAGGTTTGTGGAACGGAGACTGAAACTAGGCAGCACCTCTTTTGGGATTGTGACTTTGTGCAAGGAATTTATAAGGCAGTGTGAGGGACTTTCCAAATGCAGATCAAAGCTAAACCCCTGGAGGAAGTAGGGGATGAAATTCAAAGGACAAAGGGTAGCAAAAGAAGGAAGATTCGGTTAGTTGTTTGGACAGCGTGTATATACAACATTTGGAAGGTAAAGAATGAGGCTATGCATTAAAAGATGATCAAGATTAAAGAAGTGATTAACCATATTATTTGTTATATTAAAAGTTATACTCCCTCCGTCCCGGAATATTCGTCTAGTTTTGACTTTTGGAACTGTTCATCTAAGCACTTTGACTCATCAAATTCTCCCAATGTGTAAGCCTAAATATAGTCATGTGTGATCTTGTTTGATTTGTCTTAACATATAGATTATTAATATATAATTTCTATAATTTTTTAATATACAAATTACAAGATAAAATTGATTAAAGAAGTGTATTGGATGGTGTGTAAAAATGAAAGTGGACAAATACTATGGGACTGAGGTAGTGTTATTTTCAGGAAAGTGATGTAACTTGTTTTGGGTAGTTGATATATATATATATATACATATATATATATATACATATATATATATACATATATATATACATATATATATATACATATATATATACATATACATATACATATACATATATATATATATATATATATATATATATATATATATATATATAAAGAGGAGTCAGGCGTTTACATACATGATGGAAAAAAAGAGAAAAAAAACACACCAAAATCAAAAATGAAGAACTAATCGCTTTCCATTTCTTCAGAAGTCCTTGATCCCCCACGTTGTGAAGTCTTCATCCTTAATGAGCCATTTCTTGTTCCTGTTTACCCAACACCAGCCTTGAATTTGTTTGAAGCAAAGCTGGATAATGTTGTCTTTGGTTGGAGCTTTCTCTTCATAAATGAATGCATTTCTTGCTTTCCCAATATTCCAAGCGATAACCCCTGGCAAAATTAGTCGCAGACAACCTTTGAAGCTCTTCTCATTTCCAGTAACCCACCAAGCTATCATATGTTGGCGAAGAGTAAGACCCTTCCGTACAGATGGGCCCATAACAAAGGAGCTAAAGTAGTGCCAAACTTGTGTACTAAGGGAGCAATGAAGTAGAGAGTGGTCCAATGAGTCTTCATCCCTTCTGCAGAGAGTGCAGCAACTAGGGAGGGAGTAGCCAAATCTTTGCAAGTTGTGAGGGAATGGTAAGGCTTCGTTTAGAACTCTCCATTGAAACATCTTAAGCTTGGGGATTTGAGTCTTGTTCCATATGTACTTGCTGGATGTTAAATTTGGGTAGCCCATTTCCCCCACTATGAAAGCTCTCTTGAGGGTGAATGAACCACCATCTCATGTCATTCCCATCTCATCTTTGGAACTGTAGGTCTCTCTAATGTCATTAATTCTGCTGATTCTCTTCCAAACATGGGAGTCTGTTATCCTTTCCTTGATAGTGCCTGACTTCAAATATTTACCTCTCATGAAAGAAGCCCAAATGCCTTGGTCATTATGGATCTTCCACCAAAGCTTAAAGGAGTAAGCTTCTTGAAGTCTTTCAATGTTTTTTCAATGTTTTTGAGGCCCAAACCCCCTACCTCAGTAGGTTGGCAGATTGAGCTCCAGCTATTCCAGTGATATTTAGGTTTACCTTGCTTCTGCCCCCAAAAGAAGTTGGCCATGGAGGAGTTTATGGCATTGATGATGGATTTAGAGATGGTGTGGACAGCCATAATATGTAATGGGATAGAGGAGAGGACATGTTTGATAAGGATCAACCTCCCCATTTGGTTAATGGTATGTATGTATGTATGTATGTATGTATGTATGTATGTATGTATGTATGTATGTATGTATGTATGTATGTATGTATGTATGTATGTATGTATGTATGTATGTATGTATGTATGTATGTATGTATGTATGTATGTATGTATGTATGTATGTATGTATGTATGTATGTATGCATGCATGCATGCATGCATGCATGCATGC